AAGTTCTTGGAAAACCTTTTCAAAATTTTTCTAGACTCCTTCAAGCTTCTTTTCAAATTTCCTCCCAACTGCTTCAAGCTCCTCTTCAAATATCCTTCCAACTCCTTCAACTCCTCTTCAAAATTCCTTTCAACCCCCTCAAGCTTCTCATCGACTGCTTTTTCCAATCCTTTCTTTGTTTACTGAAATACCTTTTGAAATTCTTCCTGAATAAACTCCTGTATCTCCCCTTTACTCGCTTGAGTAGTTTTTAAATCTTCAAAAAATTGAAGGTAGGTACATCTCATTGTTTTTTCCTGTTACCTAGTAATAATTCACGACCTTCTTTTCGCCGTAATTGTTCTTCCTCCCTTCTGCGTTCATCTTCCTCTCTTCTGCGATTTTCATTCTCCGCCAGACAGAATGGTAAAGAATTGGAAGCATTTCGAGAAGACGGAATTTTTTAGTACTGTCACAGGCTTTCTCACCTGCACTGATGAAGATATCAAGCACTTGGCTATCTCAGGATGGAGATATCCCACCAATATGGGTGTCAACCACGGAAGGCATCTAACATTCAACGTTCTCATACCTATCAAGCATTTTTTGAATGTTTTCAACGATTATCAGTTTGTTTCCTACGATAAATATATCATCCGATTAGTACGAGCTGGAGATGATAGCAACTGTTTCAGACTAGATGAGACTTCTGGTACAGTAACGTTAAAGGCGGAAGTTAAGCTGAACATTGAAAATATCGAACTCAAAGTTGAACGAATATTTCCGCATTATAAAACTAAATTACAACTTTTGAAAGGTATCCAAGCTGACACTCCTATTCTCATACCGTTCAAAAAATGGGAATTCCATATGCTGCCTGCTCTCACACAAGGTGCAAAATGTGTCGTCAAGACGTTTCTCGAAAGCCCTCGATATGCATTTGTATGTTTCCAAAAAGTTCGTGATTACACTAAAGTCAACAATGATCCAACAATATTCAAACATTTGAATATCACGAATATAACACTCACTCTAAACGGGAGAATTAACCCAACGAAAATATGCATCTGAATTTTGCAAACTGGAATTATTCACAAGCTCATTTCAACTACTCACAATTTAGTCTTAGCTACGAAATTACCAATCAACATAATCCTCTCCTCACTTCCATCGCCTTTTTGGACAAAGCTCTCTTCGTCATCGATTGTTCCAGAAGGGACGAGAGCATCAAAAGTTCCAGTGTTGATGTAAAACTTGAAATCGAAGCATCCGAGGAATTTCCACAAAATACACGAGCCTATTGCATTATTGTGCACGACACTGTCATTGAACACTTCCCACTCAGCGAAATTATTAAGAAATGGAACTTAACATGTGATTTTGCTTCAGTATCAATCGCAGAGAGTCAACGTGAGAATAGCTGTTGTAGATATTCAAGGCTTCACCAACGAGCAACAATTCCATCCTAAGAAGATACGTATTAGCACTGGAATTCAATGTTGTAACTTTTTATTGCTGCCAAACACACCATTTTCCTGTTTGAGTAAAGAAGATCCCCGTACCGCCTGTTACTCGAAACGTTCACGGATTGGGGTGTTTCTCTGGCTTTGTGGAATATAATCAATTGGATGCCAACCTCATGAAAAATTTACGAGGTATCGATATCGTTCATGTGCGAGGACATCAAAAACGTGACTATCTAACTGTGAAATTTCACGAGTGGATATACCTACACGCGTTGTGAATTTGAAGGACTATGACAATACGACATGGATGGTTCCCACATTCGACAACAACAACGAAGGTGTCTCACCTTGTATGCATCACATTCACAACCGAGCCAAATATAATTGTAGTCTCCGAAACGCGGATATTCTATACAAATGGCTTTGTGATATGTTACCAAAATAAAAATGCTTTATAAATTTCTATTCGAAATGTATTATTTCTTCTTTTTTACCAAACTTGATGATGTTGGAAACGAAAACGGCTAGACGAAAACCTTGCGCTTTTACAATAACGTTATACGAAAACGTTGCGCTTTTACGGAAACGTTGTGAAGTTCCTTCATACCTCCAATGCTGCGTGTTTTCTTTGACCCCTCTCCCATTTTCCATCTAACATTTGGCAAATAACATGTATCAAAAAACGAATAAACGGATGTGAAACAACATATTTTGAAATGTCATTGCTGAATACTCCCCCCGTCGCCCTATTTTTGAACGTTAACTTCACAATACTTTTGAATATAAATACGTTTCTCATTGGGATCGCACGTTGAAATGCTACTATACCTTTAAACCAACATATTTTTTTCCTTAAATTATGTATTTTGTCACACTTTGTACACATCGACGCCAAACTCCGATGCTCCCGTTCGGGTCATCTCAAGCAGCAGTCTCTTCTCTCCTGAAGTCCTGAACGTGCTAGCACAGAATATGCAATATTCTGTGGTGCTAGACAATCCCATCACAGTAGAATGCTAAAAGACCCAGAGCATTACCATCCCCACTTTTTATTAATAAATCACAGTGCGCATGATCAAATCGTAGAGAGAAGTGTCGTGAATTGCTTCGATAATCGGCAACATTTTCATGTCTAAAATTTTTTAGGAAATTGACCGTTTTTAGCCTCTCAGACTGACGACGTTTCCCTTGTGGAATCATGATAAAGAGACGTTCTATTGTGGCTAATATTACCACTTCGCCAGAAATATTCCAAGTTCTGATTTATTTCATATTGTATTCGTATTTTAAGAGACATGAAAACAATGTTTAGAAAATTGAAAGTTTTAAAAGACAACAATAACAGAGATGTTACCAATATAATGAAGTTTGCAAATGTATGGCAAATAAAGATTTCAACATTCCTTAGTTTGTGGCCAATTTTGAAACATGAGAAATTAAATAGGTTGAAAATGTAATATTTTGTTCGTATACTTTTAAATATAATCAAGAGGTGTATTTATATTTTTATAGCAGATACAAATTATATATTTTCATCCAGAACTTAATAGATAAATAAATTAATAATTCAATTAAACTGTTTTGCTATACTGTGTTCCCACCTTAAATACCTCTCTCTGCCACAGCAATAGCATTCAAGCCACCCTCTTACCCTGGATGCAATTCCATTCGTCAAATATTACTTGAAGAGTTCCTCTAGACCTGCCAGGAACATATCGAATGTTCCTTCATCTTCCTTTTCGTTGATGGCCCTCAATATAACTGTTTGTTTTTGGCGCAAAGCATTTTTGGCAGCTTCGAATTCTAATGCATTAGTATTTTATGACGCGCCATCCTCAGCAAGTGCTAGACTGTGACACGAACCTCGTCAGTAAAACTATGGACAATAATTCAGTGGGTGAAGTTATCGAGTGCTTCTGCATAGGCTAGCCTTATCAACTTTCCGACTTCAGCCCCAAACGCTTGCATACTCTCAGATGGACCTTGAGTTCTCACCTTCAGTTTAGCTTGGAAGACTCGACCTCCAGAGTTGATACGACTGCTTTATAGTTTTACTGCTTTTTCACTGGAATATTTTACAGAATTTTCAAGAGACCTCATAAGTGCCAGTATAAGAGCTGTTCACTCCATTTTTCCACATATTATTTTCCGCAGCGGCCTCAAATTGTCTGCTATAAATTGGCCATGAAGATTACCACAGAAGATTGGAGTTTTAAAAAACCTACTGAGAGGAGGGACTAATGTTCTTTCTGAAATGCATTTTTGCAAAGTGATGCTCTTCGGCTCCGGTGATTCTTTCCGAAGTTCCCGGAAAACCTGATAAAATTTTCTTCCAACTTCAAGTACCGTTTCAAATTTTCTTTTAACCCCCTCAAGTTTTCATAGATTACTTTTTAAATTTCTTATTTGTTTCTTGAAATATTTTTTCAAATTCTTCCTGAATAAATTTCTGTAGCTGCTGCTTACTCACTTTTGAGTAAATTCAAATTCTTCAAGTAAATGAGGGTATATTTGATTGTATCTTTTTTTTCTCCTGGATAGTTACCCATAATTTAAGATCCTCCTGTCTGCACGTTGTAAATGATACTCCTTGTTTTCACCATAAACGAGAAATTTTTTAGTCAATCATTCCACTTCATACACCAAATGTTACGTTTTCCCCATGGGTTCGATAATAATTGACCACACAGAACAATTAAACTCAACTTTAATTCACTGCTACACTGCCAATACTCGTACAATACAAACACTTCAACTGAAACTTCGAACAATACTCTACTCAATGGACAATGACTACTGAATTTAAAAAATATAGAAACACTAATTTGTGGAGAAAATAAATTATTGTGATCTGAAGTGGAAAAGGAATAGTTAAATGGATTGAATGATAAGTTCAGGTCAATGACACGTCAGCTCTATCTAAACTGGCAGTAGTCGTCAAAATACTGCTTAATACCTTCAGTATTAGTATCGCTGGTGTCAAACCTTCCTTCTTCAAAATATTTATCACTCATCACCGGATCATTCGAATAAATGCATTTATCCATATGTAAATAACGAAAGAACTAGGGAAATAGACCTCAAGCCCCTCAGTGTCCTTTCGCGGCAAGAATTCTCATGGTTTTCCTCATTACGTAACTGTCGTGCTATAAGTATCAGTCCCATGCACGAACCTTATTACCCTTCCCAGAGTTACCAGAAATTCTGATTTGGTTTTGTTCTGTGTTTTTTGTGGATTTTCGCAATCCTCGCATGTTAATTTCACAGGTAAACAACAAATGGAGCATGGGCGTAACCCAGAATTTTCGATCGAATTAATAGTTGATAGTCATTAGAATTTTCTTAACATATTTTCCGCACGCTCCTGGATCCAGTCCAGAGGATTATGTAAAGTAAACAATTCCCTCAGTCCCCTTGTCCACATTTTACTGTGAGAGAGATGGATATCCTGGTTGTCTACAAATATGTTGTGTTTATACACGGAGGGTATCTCTACTTATTTTTTCAGAGGTTGTCTAAAAAAATATTCTGGTATGGCACCGTACAGAAACAGAAGTACCACACCACAAGTGACAGAACAGAAGCAAATTGTTCTGTGGTTGTACAGTGGAATGAGTGATGAGTGATTCGTGCATTTTCTGATGTGATTGAATATTAATGAATATTGTGAAGAGTTGGAAAGGGAAAAACAACATTTTTAAAAAACGTTCATGTGATGTATTTTTATTTTTTTTTATCGTCGATAGTGAATAAGTGTAAAAATTTCTTTTTCTAATCATGACAACCGAGCAAAAATTTAACGCAGCTGTGAATGTAATAAGAAGTTTACCAAAAAATGGTGAGAACACTTATTGTTGCTCAATAATTAGTTGCCATCTGTTGTATACTTCCATTAGATTTGACAAATATATTCCTCCAATATTTTGCCGTATTATGATGATATACACTTGAGTATATTTCAAAGGTTAAACAATTACATATTCTTGAATTATTACTACATTTAATGCATCAATTTTTATCTTCATCTCATACATATTTTCATAAAGTGGTACATAGTTCAAGGACTAAGTAATAATTTTGAATATATGTATTGCAGTGGCAATATTTGTTTCATGAGAGTAGATGCCTGGCTAACCATTGAAAATAAGTCCCTTCCTAATGATTGTTCCTTTTATGGCAAAAAGAAATAAAGGTGTAGGTTGTCACCTAGGGCATTTTCGATCTATCTACCCCTAGTCTGAATTGAATGTTTGTTACACCAAAATTAACTGAAGATCATTTTGTAGTTATGATATTCCATATTCATTGTTCATGATGACAACTTTGATTTCCTTGAAAATTGGTTTGTTTGTTTGTTTGAATACCATGGAGGTATTTTATTTCAATAATATCTCTAATCATTGTCTTCACTCAAAGACAGAAATTTACCAACCCATTTTTTCAGTGCCTGAAAATGTAAAGCAGCTATGCTGAATAATATTGTGGGAGTATATATTCGCAAAAATAAAAATTGTTTCAACTGTTTGAATAATACGCTGAATTAAGTTTACTGCACACTTTTTGTATGTGACTATCCATCTAAAATAGTTCCAAAAAAATTTACTTCTTTTGATACTTCCATATCATTCAAAGTGAATAAATTACAACAGAAATCACTCCTAACTAATATTTTCATCAATCAGTTAGTAACATTGACACCAACTACTACAGTGATTGTAGTATCGTCAGCATACATAGTTATGTGATAATATGATATAAATTCTGGCAAGTCATTGATAAAAATTAAGAATAACAATGGACTCAGAACAAATCGTTGTGGAACACCTAGTGTCACATCAAAAGGAGCTGATGTAATTCCATAACAATTTCCATGTACGATTCTATCCAACACAACACATTATTGTGGTCCTCCCCTACCAATACATTTATTCGTAAAGCACATATTCAAAAACTGTCTTACACTGAATTTGAAATATGCCGGAGCTCCATCCAATTGAGACCACATCCGTTGCCTGATTTTTAGCGGCTCATTCTCCAGAAGCTCTAGCAGATCATCTTGTACACAATTGTAAAAATATTTGACCATTCAAGTTTCCATCAACAAGTACCTATGGTTCTATAACAAATATACCTATAATTCCTCCCCTCACGTTAACAGATCATCTACATATTCTGGTTATCCAGAGTGCGGAAAAAATGAATATTTACATCACTATAATAATGGAAGTTGTGTCTGTTCACCAAGCCATTGTTATGATTCACCAGAAAATGAAATGGAATCCAAAAAAATGTTCATCCTCACTAAACTTATCCAGAACCCATAGACAAAAATTGATTCGTCGATGGAAGTCTATTTCATTTAATTCCTGGTGAATCTGAATATGGTACGGGTGAAATTCAAATTTTTTATTACCCTAGAAATGCTCAGTCAGTTGACTTGTATGAGAGTTTTCTATGATTGATCCCATAATAAGGATTTTATTTTCCTCGTTTCCAATGATAGGTTTTAGTCTTTTTGCCTTTTCATAAGCTACTTTTCCAGTCCTACGAAATTTATGTAGCAATCGTTAGAAAATCAACTTGTTTTGATGATTCCGGTCTGGATATTTTTGGGCATACACCCTCGAAGCCAAAAGACAATTCTCTAAACACTCGTCAATCGCTAAAATCATATCTATCCGCTCACATTCAGTGAATGTTTTGAATAATGTAAAACACAATAATTGTCAATAAGAATTCATTCAACAAGTTCAAGAAATGTCGTTTGTAATCTATCTTGATTCAGAGAATACATTGAAATAAGAACTATTTTTTGAAAAAGCCAATATCTGAAAAACTATTTAGGTTAGATATAGGGAACCCCAAAATGAAATGAAAGATAAATGCATTTTAATTCATCAGTTCGGACTTCCATTGTCTAATATAATATAAATTGATTTGAAATCCTGAAAAAAATTAAACAGATTAACCGAAAATAACAATTTTATTAAACAAAAAACTGTAATTGCAACCACCTTAAACAAATGCATTTTATATTGTTCAGACCAAAAAATACAGGGTTACACCCTGTATAAGATAACAAAGTTATCTTTGTCGGAAATTATAAAAAAGTGACAATGATTTTCGAACATTCAGTATAATATTGAGAAACGGGTTTTATGAAAATCAATAGCCCAAAACCTCTTTTATGCTTGGTCAGAATTTGAAGGGATGATTTCTATACATTTCAATGTTATTTAGTTTCCAATTGTGACTAGCATTTTCATTTAAAAATCAAAGTAACAAAACAACCAACAAAAGAGATCAAATCTCCTTGTTTTTCTTGTGATATGTGCCAAAATTTCATTTGTACAGAGTCTTCCGACCTAACAGCATCCCAATTGAAATGCATGCCACTACAAAAACGTACATTGAAATTCAATTGTAAAAAATGCAGGAACTATGAGTATGTTGAAAGTTTGCAATACATTAAAAAAAGATAAGGAAGAAATAATAAATAGTAAGAATGAAATTATAAAAATGTTACAAGATAAACTTAACAACTACGAAACAGAACGTACCCATATCACAGTACCTACTTACTCCGAGGCTACACAACGAAGCTTCAACACATTTGCTACCACAACTCTGCAAAACGTTCCCCATATAACAATAAAACCTAAGACTACCCAAGATACGGAAAAAACGAAGGAGGAAATAATAAATAAAATCAATCCATCTATTGTATATGTAAATTCTTGTTAAGAAATACATAATACTTTATTACAAAAATGCATATGACAAAAGTGATAACAGAATGACAGACTTCACTGTCTACATGACCATTGTCGCTAACTAAAATGACTGGTAGACCATAACGGGCAAAAAGATTATGTAAAATGGAAATTGTTCCTGAAGCTACCATAGAAGTCATGGAAATGATCTCTGGCCATTTAGAAAATGCATCTGTTACTAGTAGGAAATATTTACCCATGAAAGGACCAGCGAAGTCAATGTGTATTCGTTGCCAGGGAGAGCTTGGGTATTCCCAACAGTGAGGTGGTACCGTCATCGGTTTATTTTGAGCACTTTGACATGGTATGTAACTTTTGACCAATTGCTCAATATCGGAGTCAATTTTTGGCCACCAGACGTAAGATCTGGCTAGCGCTTTCATTTTCACTATACCTGTATGAGCTTCATGTAGTTCTTCCAGGATTTTTCTCCGTAGTGTGGTCGGAATAACCGCCTTTGAATCTTTTAAAATAACTCCATGTGTAAGTGAAAATTCCAAATCATTACCAACGTATCCAATTTCTGTGATTCTCTTTCCTTCAAGTAAACTTTTGTAGATATTCATTAGAATAGAATCCGCTCGCGTTTTTTTGGCAATTTCAGTATGCGTTACTGGTAGAACTAACAACTCTTGTAATTGGTAATGTGCTACTGTATCAATTGAAGTATGTGTTGTGTTTGCGGTTTCTGGTAATCTAGATAACGCGTCTGCATTCGCATGCTTTTCTGTTGATCTGTATGAAATTTCGTAATCAAAGCCTTGTAAGAATTGAGCCTAATGAAGCATTCTAGTAGCCACCATACTAGGAAGATGCTTCTCTGGATGAAAAATGGACACTAATGGTTTGTGGTCTGTGATCAGTCGGAATTTTCTCCCATAACAGTAACGGAAAAATTCATTGCAAGCCCAAAACATCGAAGTAGCTTCCTTGTCTATTTGGCTATAGTTTTTCTCTGATTTACTGAGAGACCTGGAAGCGTAAGCAATCAGTCTTTCAGTGCCATACGGCATTATATGGGAGAGAACTGCTCCAAACGCATAGGGACTTGCATCTGTAGCCAGTACTGATGGTAACTTAGAATCATATGGACAGAGAATTTCACTTGATGTAATTTCCCATTTCATAAGATCAAAACCATTTTGACATTGTTCTGTCCATTGAAAAGTAACATTTTTCTGTAGTAAATTATACAGTGGAGATAGTTTCGTCGCTAGATTCTTGAGAAATCTACTATAGTAATTTACTAGTCCCAGCCAACTCTTCAGCTCAGATGTGTTTGTTGGAATTCTTGCATTGACTACTGCCTTGATCTTCTCTGGAGTCTTTTCTAAACCTTTGTCAGATACAGTATGTCCCAGATAAGTAATTTTGTACTCGAAAAATGTACATTTATCTTCTCTAACTCTTAGGCCAACATCTTGCAAACGTTTCAGAACTTTTTTTAATGTCTGAAGATGGTCATGGAAACTTGATCCTTGTATTTTGATATCATCCAGAAATACGCATACCCCCGGTATATCGGATAAGGTTCTTGTAATGTAACGTTGCCAAACTGCTGGTGCCACCTTGGTTCCAAACATAAGACGGTTAACAATATAATCTCCTTTCGTTGTGGTTATAGCTTGGATTTTGACGCAATTATCATCCATAGGCATATGAAGGTAAGCTTCTCTGATATCGAGAGTTGTGAAAAGCTTACCACCAATCATACTTGTAGCAAATATATCTTCCACATTAGACATTAAATATCGATCATCTTTGAGAAATTTATCAATTGTAACCTTATAATCGGCACACAATCGAATAGTACAATCTTTCTTAACAATTGGAACTATTGGCGTACCCCATTCGCTATATTCAATTTTTGTCAAAATTCCTATTTCTTCCAGGCGGTCTATCTCGTCTTCTACCTTCTTCTGCAATGCATATGGAACTTTTCTTGCAGAACAGTAAATTGGTACAGAGTTGTCCTGAAGAAATAATTTGGCTTCATAATTATTTATTTTACCAATTCCAGTTTCAAAAACTGCACTAAATTCTTTTCGTAATTCATTCAAAATTT